TTTTTTTTTTTTAAAAAAAAAAAAAAAAAAAAAAAAATACAGTATATATATACAATAATAATAATATTTTTTTTTTAGATAAAATATCTAAATAATTCCACTGAAACAAAACTAATACATAACAATAATAATAATGATAGTAGTAGTAGTATAGTGGGCTGTTTGAGCTAAATTCAGTTCCATTCATTGTTCCATTGAAATAATAATAATGCTAAATTAAATTCAGATAAAATAGCTAAATAATTACATTGAAACAAAACTAATAACTAAAATAAACAACAACAACAACAACAACAACAACAACAATAATAATAATAATAATAGCTACATTCAGCTGAATTTCCAACTTCCATGGAAATAATAAGGCTAAATTAAATTTTTAAATAGCTATATGATTCACTGAAACAAAACTAATAACTAACTAAATAATACTGATGATAATAATAATAACAATTTAGCTAAATTCAACGGAACTAAAATATTTCAGATTAAATAAAAACTCTAAAACTAAAATATAATCATTATTACAATAAGTAAATAAACAAACAAACAAACAAATAAATAAATAAATGAATGAATGAATGAACAAATACAAGCTGTTTGACAAAATGACATCACAATGTTACTTGCATTTGGCACTTGGCATGTACTTTTGTACCCTGCACACAATTAGCCTGCTGATAAAAGAAAAAAGCTACGGCAATAAACTGTTCCCAAAAGAGAGTACATGTATGCATTATGCTGCACTCTCGCACAACACCGACACAGAAGCTCCTGGATGCACAGGTTCCCAGGCTCCCATCATTAATCTGGCTCAGGCTGTGTTCACACACTCATCTCCGGAGGGAGCCACAGCATTGTGTTTCATACGCTTTGCTCTGATTCTCCCTCGGTGACCACCGCCAAACGCTGCATAGCCTCGGGGTTTTCAGATTCACCAGCTATTCAATAAGGATTAACTGCTTGTGATTTGCTCACCCCTCAGGGCTTGAGAAGGTGGAGGAATCCTTAATAAGACTCTCGATAGCTATTTTAGTGTAGTGTCCCTTTTTCAAGAAAGAAGTGTTTGAAATGCTGAATGATGATACATTCAGACATTAATATCCCTCTAACTGCGCATGTGCAGCCGCATGCTACTGATGTTGCTCCTATGCAGACAGCAATGTGCAGAAGCCAGACAAACAAAACCAGCAACAATGTCTCGAATCTGAGTTAAAACATCTAGCTGCATTTACACTGATTTTCAGTATGGAATTAAGGATGTGAGAAATCTTGTGCATGGAAAATTCACAGTGCTAATTAATGCACAAGCGGCGAGAAAAGGACAACAGTGCCGCGTCTGTAGTGGCACCAAATGTCAAAAATAATTACTATTATTATACACATACAGAAGCATGTTATTTTATATTATAATTATTTTCATGCCTTGCTTTCTAAAGGTCCTGACAAATAAGATGTACATCAAAAAGACAAAACAGGTTATCTTGAAAAATCAAGACATAAAAATAACAGTAAGTCATGGTTCTTAATGGGTTTTGCTATCAAATTTATTTATTTTATAAAAGTCATAGAAATAATTTATTAATATTACCACTAAAAACATATGCGAAATAAATTAAATAGGCAGAATAGGAAAATTGAATACATTGAATAAGAAAATGCACAAACATCAGAAGAGTGATGTAGCCTGAACCTGTATTTAACGTCTTGTATAAAAAAATAAATACATAAATAAAATAAAATTTATTAATATATTTAAATTATTTTTAAAATAATAAATTAATTTTCAAATCATAAATATGTATTTGTTTTATTATTATTATTATTATTATTATAAAAGATACCTAGCAAATATGCTATATTATATGGTTTATTTTATAAAAGTCATAGAAATAATTTATTAATATTACCACTAACAACAAAAGTATATGCTAAATAAATTAAATCAAATATGTTTTACTCAGCAAGAACAAAAATGAGATTGAATATTGCATACAGGTAGACCATTAATCGTATTAGACGTCAGACATATGGTTTCTTTAACTTTCCCAGGTATCAAGTTCAGAGTCAGTTTTGGCCTTATCTCTGGATACAGCTGTACTAGTTGAATCCCATGAGAGCCAATAGTTTGCCAGCAACCTTAAATTTATGCTCTGTCCACATCATCCATAATTTAAGGGGCTGATTGCTGCTCCCGTGAATGGTTTCCATATCTCTGCAACCATCTGAGATTCATTTATGTATGGAGCAGCGAGAGAAAGAGAGCAGCGCTGCCTGAGGGGGGAGAGCAACCATATGAACCTGTTAACATGAGCGGAAAGTGTCTTTCCACCCCATCAGAGCGAGAGACACGGGAAATGACATACGAGATGAAAGGTGTTTTTGAGGAGGTGTATGTCAGCAACACTGGGATGAATTAATCATCTCTACATGAATTAAAAATGATGACATTCAAATTATATTCATATTTACATTTGCATTTCCAAAAGGAAATAGTGCTTGCATATTCACTGTTGCTATCATTATTACACAAACAAACAAAAATATTTTTAATTTAAATTTAACTGAAATAAAATACCAAAATTATTCTATTGAAAAAAACTAAATATATTAATATACATTTTTATTATCATTACTGTATTCAACTTGCTGCTTCTTTGTAATAGTAAAATTTACTAGCTAATTACGAGTAAAAACTTTGCAAATGCGAGTATATATATATATATATATATATATATATATATATATAAATACATTTTCCTAAAGCATGCCTAAAAATGAAATTATCGACAAAGCTAAATTTGCAGAAAATTGTGGTGAATAAATCTTACTCCTTACATACTTACATTTGTTTGTAGATAATTAAACCTTGAGAATCAGTTAGCAAACTGTTATTTCAGCAATTATTGTCACTGCTTTGCATATACACGGGTAAGCGTGGGAGTAATGCTTATATGTATTATTCATAAATGAATAGGAAGCATTTCTCTGAATTAAACATTCAAATATGTGATGTGCCTACTTGGCATTCTCAGAGCAAGCGATGATTGCGATCAGTTTTGACCAGGAGGCCTCAGTGTCAGGAGAGCTGACTGCAATTCAAACACATTACTGGCGAGTTATCCAAATGGCCATGTGTATCCCAGCGCTCATTAGGACTCATTTTCCACTTAGTAAAATAATGCATTCTTCCATATTAGCCCCCAGCACTGTACCACCAGCTGGCCTAATAAAAGACACGTATCCCACTGCAGATTATTCCAAATAATTACTCGAGTAAATACATATCTGCGGGTCCAAAGAGAATGGAAAACTCAATTAAACCTACATTAGACCTGCTGGGACTCATCAGAACCCCCAGGATGCAATGGGACCAACACTGTTGGTGTTGTAGCTAATGTGAGAGAACAGGTGGTGTAACCATGGTGACTGCGAGGAACCCATACCAGGTTAAAAAAGCCCGTATTGTGCGTCATTGTGATAAAGGGACAAATTCTGTCATTATTTACTCACTCTCTTGTCATTATGTTGTCAAAAAGACAACAAAAAGCCCCATAAAAGAAAAATGTTGTCCTGAACAGGCTTCTCAATACAATAAAAGTAAATGGGTATGAGGACTGTTAAGCTTCAAAAAGGACAACAAATAGGTCTTAAAAGAACCATAAAAGTGATTGCACAACTTAAAATAATACGTTTTCTTAAGTCATAAGATCTGAAATCTCATTTGTATTTGCAAACATTCAAATCATCATGTGCTTTATTTGAATATATCCAGGTGCTGAGATTGGAGTGCTATGATGAATTTCATCATTTTTGCAGCTCAAATTTTATTGCAAAAGAGTAGCAAAAACATTTATTTTTTTTCTGGAAGAAAAAATGGAATGGCACGAGTATGAGTAATTGATGCTAAAATAAAATTTTTTGAAAAAGTTGAAAAATTCTTTTAAAGTTATCATGACAATGTTTTCCTTGAGCTAGAAGCTGCTGGGATCATTTCTATGCCAAATTATTAACTAGAAACCAACTTTGACTCCTGCTTGTCACTGACCATTTGTCATTTTGTATATTAATATACATTTTTATTATCATTACTGTATTCAATTTAATATGTT